TCACGAACCATCAATAATAGGGGCCCACTAGCCGTTACAAACACACACTACCTAAATTAGTTGCACAAACTCGTTATACCGTGTGCTTCATCAACCATATACGAATAACAAGAAGTATTACCAAGAGTCATAAAAATGCACGACCTTATAGTAGAGTCCATCGAGATAAATAGTTGCATGGAATGGCTATCAATTGTATTAAGAAACGCCACATTTGTAGGAATACAGTTGGTTGTCAGTGGCAAGCAAGGGTGTGCACATTAATTTACCCACGTTTTAGGGTACCCGTCGGGGTTCGTAACAGATTTATTCATGCATATAAGCTTTGTGCTTTAATTATTAAGAAGCAAATATCTCGATTAGTTTATGCCAAATGGACATGTGGCACGTGTGATGCACTTAATTCTGTATATGCACGTACAAGTTTCTCCTTAATTCGACCGATTAGAAAATTGTTGAAGTCTAACCAATATGATTATGATCTCGAGTGGTTGTGAAATGTGATATCGGATATAATTTCAATGTTCGTGACGAACAATCGGGCTCATTTTATCCTTCTCTCTGTTAAAGGCAGCCATGAAAAGGGTTTGGTAGAACGCTATTAGTCTAAAGTTCGAACCCTATCGTATAGTCCAACCCTAATCAATCAATGAGAGAAAATTTAGTAGTCTACCGCCTAACCCATATCACAATCCAACCACAACCGAACCGATCTGTTAAGAAAAATCAGCAATATGTTGCTCTGAATGAACTATATGTTGATCTCAACCGACCAACCTACGGTGCAGAGAATTGCTCACAACCCATCTCGAACTCCAGAAGGAACCGATAATACATGCTCGATCATTGCCCAACAGCTTCTGAATCGACGACGACAGCCCACTCAAGCAAATCGAATGCTCACAAAAGCAATGTTGATACCAAAGCTTCAAACTCAAAACGAACTTTAACGCTGTTCTCATCCCCGTGTCACGAGCTATATATCACCGGTCAACAATTCAGTTCCAACATAGATCGATCACAACGAAGATCTAATAAGTACCGATGCCCGAGTTTGATCAAAAAGTGTTATATTTAGATGGCCGATCAATTCAATCTATCCAATCATCAAAACTTGCTTGCTGATCATCTACGATGCAGACATGATATATGTGGATCGATCGATGAGTATATGCTAGCTTAGCTAGTCCACAAATGTCGTTGTCGAAGGTAAGACCATCAATTTACATCAACATGGGTCAGCTGCGCTAGCTAGCTAGCTAGAGTATCGATCGCGCAACAGTAGTGTTAGAGCGTGCAACGGATAATAAAGAAGCAGACAACAAGATCCATTTGCGACTGTCTCTTGATCAAGACCTAACATTTCCCCACTTGCTACTATTTTTATGTATGTATGTATGTATATTTTGTACCTAACGTTAACAACTGTTGGTGGGTCTCCTTTTCTTCCTCTCCATATGTTCAATTGTCACGCGGGGCACTTCCATTCCATGCACAAAACTATTTCTACTTGACAATAATACCAATTTTGTGTGTATACATTCTTTCGTCAAGGCCACCTCTTCCTCTAACCTCTAGCCAAATTTGGTCCTTGGTAGCTAAATTGCTCATGTTTTGCTTGTAGCTAGGGTCGCAATAAGTAGATGTACAAAGTTCGGTGAACCGCTCTTATGGTATTATTCTCGAGGTTGGGAGAAGGCGCTATGCATGTGTAAGGTGAGTGTTAGGGCCTTGTCTGATGCCTAGTTAACAACAAGGAAATAGCTTTGCAAGTTGATAGAATCACAGCTGGGGGGGGGGGGGTTGTGGAGTTTTCGAGCTATATATATTGAACAGATTGAGATAGAAGACTGAGTTTGTAGATGATGACGACGTTGATTTTTCCTTTTATATCGATTGTCTAGCTTTATCTGATCATGCCCATTATTCATATATAAAAAAATGTGGCCAATTCAACAATTGCAATACTTGCATTATGCCCAATTGACAATAATCAATGTTTTCTTTTGTGGGTGGAAATATGCCTATCACTTTTGTTTAGTTAACCTTTGAATGGTGGCATGGTCTATGATTTTCTCAGTGCTTATCCTTTGAAATTAGGACTCAAATGATCTCATATGCATTGGAGATGGATAAGATCATGTACTTTCAAATCCTTTCAGTATTTGGAGTAGAAGAAGGCATGAAAAAATAACTTACGTAAAAAATGTTCCAAAGTTAATGAATGGATAAGGAGTCATAGGTGTAGTTACACGAGATGTGATATTTGTTCTTATCGAGAAGTATAAACTAATTTGTTGAGATTGATATGATTGTGAATTGTATTGAAGAAGAAGTGCGTGGCAATGATGAAACGGTAAGTACTACGAAGGGTGGTTAATTATGAAATAGTTAGACCAACTAGTTATTGGCTTATTGCTGCTAATAAGTATAAACACTTCGGTGGAATCGATAGAGTATATGCTGTGATTTTATATAATCACCTCATTTGATTATAGTTTCATAATCCAGATTATTACAGAAGAGGGGTTATATCCCAAATCTTGTTTCGATTATTCAAAAAAAATCATAAATGGATGTACTTTCCTAGAATCATTTATCTTGGCCTTAATATATATATAATATCTTTCTCAAATGCTTCTCCATTCCTTTAAAGCCAATCCATGGACGTACTTCCCCAAGAATCACAAATATGTTAGATCAAAGTCTAGGTGATAGTCACAGGCTAACATATAACCCAATTAGGATTTCGGACATGTATTTTTCCCCGCCACATCTGCTAAGGAGTTAGTTGTTTCGGACCGTTGAACTAGGCGATATCACTAGTATGCATCGGTAGTACTCAATGACATCTTGTTAGCAAAGACATAACTAGTTACGAATCCACATATCTCCATCTGAACGTGTTGGACGACCTTTTTCATATTGTCTTGCATATGAGAATTTAAATCTTAACTTTCATATAGTTCCATATCACGTAATTCTATCACAACAATTTATTCATTTATTTTTGTGATCAAAATTTATTAAAGAGAAAAAGATTGAGATGCGTAATGAAAAGTCGGCGATTGGGTACTTAACAGATCCCAAAAAAAATATTTATGATACTCTGCTGTTTCAGTGTTCTATCATTCACAGCTCATTTCTACCTTTCATTTCCAATTTCCTTTTGTCTTCCCAAAATTCTCACAGCCGTTGGATCATCGGGATCGCTCTGACTTTGACTTAAAAGAGTTACGAACACATTCAGATCCTGTGCACGTACGCAAAAAAAAATTCCCATCACCCAATCACCATCCGCCAGCTCATCACACATAAACGTTCACCCGCCACCCCGCCAAAAATACCGAACGCCGCCCCCTCTCCCCGCCGGCGAAGAATACCCGCCAACCGGCTCCGACCGCGCTAAACCCACTTTGACGAGCCGACACGTGGCCGGCGCATCCCACGTGGACTCACGTGAACTCCAAATTTCATGCAAATCCCCGAAATTAAAAAATTAGTACAGAATACCCTCAGAGAAAGAAAAAAAAAATGTTAACCCGTACGTGGTATCATTATCCAAAGAGGAGGATGGTTTTCTTCATTAATTTCATTGACCCTCTCTCCCTCTCCTTCCCAGTGGTTTCTTACTTTCTTTCATCTTCCCATTGGATTTCCTCTCTCTAGCAACTCTGGTATTAAAGAGAGAGAGAGAGAAGTGGGGGATTGTGGAGCCCAAAACTGGACCTGTGCTTTGCTGGCTTCCTAGCTCTCCATTGTTGGTCTTTTATGGGGCTTGTCTGCTAAGCCTAAGAGAAAAAAGAAATAAAAGATAGAGGGAGAGGAGGGAAGAGAGAGAAAGTTAGGGGGGGGGCCGACGGGCTTCATCTCCTTCTTCTTCATTTAACAAAGACTCGACCTTTATCGAAAACCCACCACATCCATTTTTTCACTTCCCGTTCCTAACTCCATCTCCTTCCTCCTCCTTGCTTTCTCAACAGCAAAACCCAGTTGTGGGGAAAGGAGAAGAAATCCCCCGAAAAGCCTCACTTTGTTTCTTCCTTCAGTGATTCTGCTAAACTTTCCCCTGCCCTCTCACCTCTTGAGGAAGGATCCGCAGATCTCATCGAACCCACATGAAGTTTGTTTCTAACTGTTGGGTGATAATATAGGTAGGGACTTTGAGGAGAGGGAGAGAGGGAGCTCAGTCAAATTTTGATTGATTGATTAATTTTGGTCCAGAGGTAAGTTCTTTGGGGTACATGATGAGGGGGAAAAGGAGGTGTTTGCTTTTGTTGAAATTTTAGTTGAATTTTGGTGGTTGATTGGTTCTTGCTAAGTTGGGATTTGGTCATTTCTAAAGGGGATTTTTGATGGCTTCAATGTGAATGGTTGGACCTTCTGGAGGAAGTTTGTAACTTTTTGTGTTTGCGCCCCTTAATGGCCTGAAACTAACCAATCTCTTCCTCTGTTGAATGTGGTGACCAAACACATGTCCAATTTACCCGATTCCCGTGTTCATCTTTACTTGCTCCTTACAAAGGGTCCCCTCTTTTGATTTTTCCATCATTTGCGGCTTTGGGATTCTAAGTTCTTGTAGAGGTGGACCGTTATGGATGGTTCTGCTGCAAATTCACATCTGAAACCAGCAGAAGTAAAAGGCGGCTGCTTTAGATCCTGTACAATTGACTGGTTTAGTTGGAAGGGTTTTAAGTCTATTGTGTTGAATTCTTGCTATCCAAGATTAGGCTGCATTCACATGTTGATATATCTGCAGTGCTTGTTTTACATTTTCCCCGTGTCTGAAGTTTTGAGGGACCTTGTTTGTTTGTGAATTGGGTATTATCGAAATGCTTATTGGTGTTTATGTTTTGTTCTGTGAAGGTTGAAGAGTGGTGAAGAGGGTAGGGGTTCAGAAACTGAGATTACTGCTGTCAAGTGCTGTGTTGAATGCTGGTGATTTGGAGGGTCGTGACTTGCCAAAAAAAATTGGGATGGTTGTTTGGTTGAGATGAGGGATGTTATCTGCGCTGATGAGCTTATTGAGGGCCTGTTTTCGGCCGAGTTCCGATCATTATGGTCACTCGAATCCGGAAACCAGTGGTCGACAAGACGGGCTGTTGTGGTACAAGGACCATGGGCAGCATGTGAATGGCGAGTTCTCTATGGCAGTAGTGCAGGCCAACAATTTGCTTGAGGACCAGAGTCAGCTTGAGTCAGGAAGTCTGAGTTCACACGATTCTGGTCCATTTGGTACTTTTGTTGGTGTTTATGATGGGCACGGAGGCCCTGAGACATCTCGCTATGTCAATGATCACCTCTTTCAGCATCTAAAGAGTAAGTATCTTCTTACTATGTTTCTATGAGGTTGATGGATATTTGGGAGTAGTAGTATTTGGATGAGATATCTTTCCGTGGAGAAATTGAAGTCATGATGGCTTTTTGCAGGGTTTACTTCAGAGCAACAGTCTATGTCAGCAGATGTAATACGAAAAGCATTTCAAGCAACGGAGGAGGGCTTCCTTTCGGTTGTGACGAGGCAATGGCCGATGAAGCCACAGATTGCAGCAGTTGGTTCTTGCTGCCTGGTGGGTGTTGTTTGCAATGAAAACCTTTACATAGCCAACCTTGGTGATTCCCGGGCTGTTTTGGGTAGAGCTGTGAAGGCGACAGGTGAAGTTTTGTCCATTCAGCTGTCAGCTGAGCACAATGCTTGCTATGAGTCTGTAAGGCAGGAGCTGTTTTCTATGCACCCTGATGACTCAAATATTGTGGTTTTAAAGCATAACGTATGGCGTGTGAAAGGTCTTATACAGGTGAGCCTACATAAACCAAACCCTCTCTCCTTTTAGTCTTCTCTTCTTAGTGCAGAGATTATCTCTGTAGAATGTGAAAAGTGCTGGAGATCTATCGAAACATATGCTGCCTTTTCCTTTCCTAGTAGGCTAGTACAATTTTTGCTATTCCAGACATGCTCAACTTCGGTAAAAAAGCTTTCTCCTCCGGCTTTAGACCTAGATTGATGTGTTTTAACTTCAAGTTCCATATATTATGTCGCTCCAACAACTTAAGCTAGCTCTATCATGGGCTGTATAACTGGTTAGTTGAAAGCCGAACTTAGCAATTGATATTAAGAGCTTGAGATATCTAGGCGGGTTTGATTGTGAACTCTGGTTGTCATAATCAGTTGGTTTATTGTCGGCTTCATCACTAACTTCTTAGACTCTAGATCAATCATAGGTCTCCATCTAATGTTGGGAGTTACTGAACTTACAGATTTCCAGATCCATAGGTGATGTATACTTGAAGAAGGCTGAGTTCAACCGGGAGCCTCTATATGCGAAGTTTAGGCTTCGGGAACCATTCAAAAGACCTATACTGAGTGCTGATCCCTCCATTTCAATACATAAACTACTACCTGTCGATCAATTCGTCATTTTCGCATCTGATGGCCTGTGGGAGCACCTCAGCAATCAAGAGGCAGTCGATATAGTTCAGAATCATCCGCGAAGCGTAAGAACAATAACTTCACTAGCCACTAATTTCATTTCTTGTTGCGAGCAATCTCATTCTGCTTCTTGGGTTTTTGTCTTGAGTGGATGAGTTCAAAGTTGTGGGGCAGTCTCTAGTGTTCTTGGTCTTCTATCTACCATAATGTTAAGATGAATAGATGATTGGCTTGTTTTAGGACTGATTTGAATTTCGATTAGAGGGTAGAAATACCGAAAGCGCAACAACATTCCTTTCCTCAGAAGGCTGTCATAAGCATTGAGTTCACTTCTGAAGTGTAGGGTTATTGCTATGTGATCGGTTTCTTGGAAAGCAAGTCATTCGATTGTTCACTTACCTTTGTTTCTTCATGGTGGCAGGGGAGTGCAAGGAGACTGGTAAAGGCTGCACTACAAGAAGCAGCAAAGAAGAGGGAGATGAGGTACTCAGACTTGAAGAAGATCGACCGTGGGGTTCGTCGCCATTTCCATGACGACATCACCGTGATCGTATTGTTCCTCGACTCGAACCTTGTGAGTCGGGCCGCGTCCAATGGTGGCCTCGGAAACAAGATCTCGAACTTATCTGTTAGAGGGGGTGGAATCAGCCTCCCTTCAAACACACTGGCTCCTTGCACTGCTCCATCAGCCACCTGAGGAGATGGATTTGTTTTTCTATCAATATTTTTGTTTCTCTTTATATATTGCTTCTTTTCTTTGTTGTACTGGTTCTGTCAGTGTGAATACCAACCAGATTAGCTGCTTCCCACAAGAGTAAAACAGGGTCAGAAGAAGAGAAATGGAGAAAGATTGATTCTTTTTTATTTTAATGTACAACTTTAACATGTAACTTGGGAAACTGAAGAATGCTTTGCACTCCTTTTCCTTTTAGGGAAAATATATGACCTCCCAATCCCATCATCGAAATAATTTACAACCGTTGGATGTTCGGGTAGTCAAGGGCTAGCCGCACCGCATGTATAAAATGACCAGTGTTCAGTTTCACTCCGCGCGCGCGCGCGCGCTTTCTCGTATTCTCCTCTTCCGTTTTCCTTCCTCACATAACTCTGTAGCGCCGGCGGCGTGTTTTCTTTCAATCTGGTCGTTTGTCGATCTACTTCCATGTTCACGACCCTCAGAAAACAGCGCCGGCTCTGTCCAGAAGGAAACCCTCTGCCGCCTCCCCTGAATCTGATCAGCAAACTGGGAGACGATCTCCTCGTAGAGATTCTGATTCGCCTCCCAAACCCTAGATACTCCTGCCGCTGCAAAGCCGTCTGCAAGCTGTGGAGATCACTCATCTCCGATCCCAGCTTCAATCGCCGTTTTATTTCTCATCACCGGAGTAGGTGCCAACCAACATCTTTGTTTGTTCCCGCACACGACCCCTTGTCCATCCTCAGCTTTCTCCCCGTGCCTGATGAAGCTCGACCGCGTTTGAGAGCCTTCGATTGCTTCAAGGACTTGCTTTTATGCGGGTTTGTGGACTATTACCTTGGCGAATTGGGCAGATCCTACTTGGTCTGCAATCCGTTCACAAAGCAATGGATCGCCCTTCCTTTGGCCCCTAGAAATCCAGAAAACGGGTATGATCGATCTGCGGTAGTGTTAGCTTGTCAACCCCGTTGTACTAATAGCAGTAGTAGTAGTAGTAATTATAATATTGTGCAGCAGCTAGGAGACGAACCAGAACCAGAATCTGAAGCAGCCTTTATTTATTCTGAGTATCGTTTGCGGTTGTTGCGTCTTTTATCAAGTGGCCTGGATGTGGTACTGGACGTGTTTTGCTCCGAGTCCGGGGAATGGAAGCGGTTGTTTATTAAGAACTCCATACAGAGGCCATGGAGCAATGTAGTCTGGTGGAACGGGCTCTTGTTTTGGATGCACCTTAATCCCAAATCCTTGCACTCGGAGCTTGCTGCGTATAATCCTTTCCGCCCTGATCTACGCTCCAATGCTATTCACGTACCTTCTGCATTGTGGAACCCGTTGTGCAATGGAAGTGGGAATCTTTCGGTCTCGCAGGGTGGTTTGCACATAGTTCTGTTGGAAGTCGAAGGTGTACGTTACGGTTTGAGGAATGCCTTGAGCGTTTGGAGACTGGGAAAAAATGATGATGACTATTATTGGTGGAGCAAACAGTATGAATTGGTGTTGAATAGGACATCATTGCTATGGGGTCGGTATGAACTTGAGAACTGCTTTGTGCTTGATCTGCATCCGGAGAGATCGGAAATTGTCTTCTTGAGATACTTGGAGGATCGTGTTTTCTCCTTCAACTTGAGGACGGGTATGGGAAACCCTGAGCTCTTCTCTGGAATAAGTCTGATAAGCTATGACCCCACTTGGAGGGCGTTCCAACCGAGAGTCTCTTGCTGGCCTACTTCTATTCCAAGGTACGATGACCTGCAATGTACGTACGATGGAAGCTACGATTGTTGGGTTCGGAACAAAAACACTACGACAACTCTTCCCTCGACAATTGGTAATTCTGTATTTTTTCCCCTAGCCTCTCTTCTCTGCCGTTGCATATCTGTTTACCAACCTACCTATTAAGCAGCAGATGCATGCATACATTCATTCACCTCATGTCTTGCCAAGTTGCTATGCATGTTATGATGACACTGAGATAGTGTGATTGTGTTGTTATTCTCTCGATTTCTTGATGTGGTTTAGCATCTAATATTCTGTTTCCCACCTGACTTTATGTTTTGCTGTTGGTTGGTTTGCAGAAAAATGCCAGCCCTTGGCTGAACAGTCAGGTCGTAGGAGGAAGGACAAGAGATCAGCAACAGCATTACACTCCAAGCGTTGCGTTCGTAGGAAACAGAAAGTGGGGAAAGGCGCGCAGCTATGGCCTAAGAAGCTCATCTTCTGTGATCAATTGAAGGGAAAGGATTAGCCCCGGGCAAGCAAACGTTGTTGGAGGCTCGTACATATGTACTGATGATCTGTATGAAGATGGACAGCAGCGGTAGTATGAAGTCTTCGCATGCCTTGGATCTGTGCGGCGGCGGCCGGATCGTCGAAAATGTCCTCGGAGAGGCGCATCACAGTGGAAGTGGACGGAACGTGATTTTTTTTTTTTTCCAAACGATCACTCATAAAAAGAGGATAGAGAATCGATCCAAGTTTTTTTTTTTGACAATGAGTTAAATTTCATTCATGAAACGATTGTAGTACAAGCGTAGCCATTTACAACAAAGGTGAAATAAGATCAAGGATTTGAATCCAATCTGTGGGAAGAGATCCTTTTGTTGTTTCTCTTGCAACCCAGTCCGCACTCTTGTTCAATCTTCTAGGTGTAAAGTCCACTCGGATACGATCGTTAGAGTCCAAGATCTGCCTGATGCAATGGATCCATGCCCTCACTTGCCATTGCCCTGTCGTGCTATTGCCCTTGATCGCGTCAACAAGAACTTTGCAGTCCGAACGAACACTTGCAGTGAGACCTGAATCATTTGCGAATCTGAGAGCCGTTAAAAGTGCCTTTGCTTCCGCTACAATCGCTGATGAACAAAACAGAGTCCCAGCCCTTCCGTCAATTACTTGTCCATGGTTGTTACGAACAACTACACCATATGCCGCCACCTGGGATTCCGAGCAAAAAGCTCCATCACAGTGGATCTCCAACTGAGGATTTCCTGGCGGTGGATCAAAAATTGTACGATGTGGGGGGGGGGGGGGGGCTGGGGTAGAGATGGAGAAGAGCCTCCATTGACTGATCGTTGTTGGATGCCTCTCCAGTCATTGAAGCATCCAATCGCTTTCCTAGAGGTCACTTGCAGCTGAGGTCTCACTCCTTTGAACGTCATTTCATTTCTGGAAATCCAAATTGCCCAAAGTGTAGCAATGATGGCAATAATTGAAGTCTCCGGGGACGTCACATGGATGTGGTAGATCCACATAAGGATTGGCATTTCCCGTTGTGGAAGGGGAAAGGAGGCAAAAGCTTGATTCCACATTGCTCTCGCATGGGAGCACCCGAAGAAAACATGCCAGGTATCCTCGATATCTTCATCACACACTGCACAAACTGGAGAGCTTAGCATTTTGCGAAACCAGAGATTCCTCTTCGTTGCAATTGCGTTCCTCGTGATCCTCCAAACAAAGTTGAGAATCTTTGGCGGTACGGATAGACTCCACAACCACTTCCACGCCTTAGTGGAGCATCCTGGATGGTTGGGATCCTCGGTTCCTAATCTGTCTCTCTCCGAAGCTCTGAACACATGGTACGCCGACTTGACTGTGAAAGCACCAGATTTCTCTGGGTGCCAAACCCAGGAGTCATCTGTGTTGCTCATCCCAATGGGAATTCTCCTGATTGCCTCGACCTCCTCTGGTAGGCAGTGTTGATCAATTTTGTCCAGGTCCCATTCATTGGCCTCATCCAACACCCATTCAAAAGCTCGAACTTGCTGTCTTTGTCTCTCCTAAAGTCGAAATCCTGGAAGACCGGGAATCCAAGGGTCGTTGTTCACATCAATACTCCTTTCATTGCCCATGTTTTTCCTTGCCCCCAGTTTCAAAATATTCCTAGCTTCACAAAGGCTCTCCCAAATCCACGATGGTCTTCTCCCCTTTCCTGCATTCAAGAAATCCGAGTTAGGAAAGTAAATTCCTTTTAGGAGTTTCACCCATGTTTCATTTTCACCATTGAGGATCCTCCATCCTTGTTTAGCAAGGAGCGCCAGATTAAATTGGTGGAAGTCTTTGAATCCCATTCCCCCTTCCTGTTTTGCAGCCGTAAGAACACTCCCTTTTCTCCAATGGATTGTTCCCTTTTCCATATTTCCTCCCCAAAAGAAAGCCTTTAGCCGAGAATCCATTCTATTGGTAGTGCCCTTTGGGAGGAGGAAACAGGACATCAGATAGGATGGATATCCTTGATAGACCGCCTTGAGTAGGGTTTCCTTTCCCGCTTGTGAAAGAGCCAGACTCTTCCATCCATTTCCCAATTTCTCCATTCTCGAGATTAATCCAGCAAAAACTTCCTTCTTTGATCTTCCCCATTCAGTTGGGACCCCCAGATAGGTTCCCATTCCTTGTGTGTTGGGAATGTCCAAGTCTTCAGCAATCAAGTTCTGCAGGGCCTCCGGAGAGTTCTTGCTGAATGTAATTGCTGACTTCTCATTGTTGATAGCCTGCCCAGTGATGCTTCCATACTCCTCAATCATCTTCTTGATGTTATTGCTTCCATCCTCGATGCTTTCCCAAATAAGATTGTATCATCTGCAAACAACACATGGGTCAGTCTAGGACAAGTAGGAGTTAAAGTAATGCCTTGAATCAACCCATTTTCAACATTCTTATCAATGAGGAATGATAAAGCATTAGTCAGCAAAATAAAGAGAAGGGGTGAGAGTGGATCTCCCTGGCGGATTCCCCTGCTTGGCTCAAAGAAAGGCGTTGGTTGGCCATTAAATAGCACCGCAAATCTCACAGTTCGAACACATTCCTTCACCCACGCACGCCATTGGGCCGCAAATCCCATTGCCAAAAGGATATCATCCAAACAATCCCAGTCAACCATATCATATGCTTTCTTCATGTCGAGTTTCAACATCATATCCCATTTTCCTCCTTTTGGTCTTGTCTTGAAATGGTGTAGCACCTCATGGACAATAATAATATTGTCTTGAATAGCTCTACCACCCATGAATGCTGATTGCATCTCCGATACAAGGTTGGGTATCCAAACTTTAAGTCTTGATGTCATGATTTTGGATATAACCTTGTATTTGAAGTTGCAGCAACTGATTGGTCTGAATTGTGAAATATTCTCCGGATTTTGCACCTTTGGAATCAAAATAATGTGAGTATCATTCCACCCCTCTCCCATTCTAGTATCCTCAAAGAATTGTTTGACTTCCACACACAGCTGTTGGCCCACTGTAGCCCAATATTTCCTGTAGAACAACCCAGGAAACCCATCAGGACCAGGTGATTTATCCGCTCCCAGCTCAAAAACCGCGCACTTGATTTCCCCATCTTCAATCGGCTTACAAAGATCCTGATTCATATGGTCCTCAACAATGATTGGAATTTCCTGAATCAGTTCTTTATTAAACCCCTCCTCCCTTTTCTTGAACAGGTTTTTGTAGAAGTTAACAATATGGTCCTGTAGTGGTCTTTGGTCCTCAATCCAGATATTCCCATCATCAAGGAGTTTCACAACTTTGTTCCTCAAGCTCCTCTGAATGGTGGATGCATGGAAAAATCTTGAATTCTGATCTCCCCGATTTAGCCATTGAACACGTGAGCACTGCCTCCAAAAGATCTCTTCCTCACTCCACAGTTTCTTTAATTCCACCAGTAGGTTTTTCTCTTCATCATCGAAACATGGAATATGGGTAAACTCCAAAATACTCTTCAGCCTATCTTCAATTTCCTTGATTCTCACAGCTGCATTTCTAATGTTGGTCTTGCTCCAACACTTGAGCTCCTTACTGCACCTAGAGAGTTTAGAGTTATGATCACCCCCCCTCTCCCATACTCTTCTGATAATATCCTCACACTTATCATAATTGACCCATCTGTGGTCGAACCTAAAGATGGCTTTTTGAGCTATGTCAATCCCCATTATCTCCAATCTCAAAGGACAGTGGTCTGATCCCACCATTGGTTCATTGAAAATCATTGCCTTACTAAAAGCTTCTCTCCAGCTCAAAGAACAAAGGCCACGATCCAATCTAGCAAAAATTTTCCTGATCCAAGTTTACAACCAAACTATTTACTATTGTACCAGGCTACATAATCAAACCCCCTTTGAAAGGAAGGTGACAAACTCAGAGCACGACGGGCCATGGAATGAGCCACTCTGTTGAAGTTACGACCTATGAAAAGTACTTGCGAGTCTCCAAGATCACCTATGAAAAGTACTTGAAAGTGGACGGGACGTGATTGAGTTGCATTGGTTTAATTTGATCGGTTTCTCCCGCTCTGGGCTCGTGGCCCGTTTTAATTAGGCCCTGTCCCCGCAACCAACAGCTACAGTTAGGAAAGCCCGATCTTTGAATTTAAAGCCTGGGGCCCGTTAGTGCCTTGTAGTTGCAGCATTTCCCGCACTTCTCCAATCATAATTTTCGAAATTTCCGAATTTCCCAAATAAGAAAAGACCCTCTCAGGAAAATTTGCAAAAATGAAAAATCGGTGAGGGTCTTATTGGTTAACCGGAAATTGAAAAGGCATTTAATGGTTTTGATTTGGTTTGGATAAACAAAAAATCAAAAACCAAATCCATATACAGCTGGGAAGTCCAGAAAATGGAGTAAGAAAAGACAATGAAGATGAAGATAATAATAAATAAATAAATCTACTGCTACAGTCTACACATAAGTTGGCGATGATATGTGTTGTTGATGGTATTGACTTAGTTAGAGTGTTAGTGGTGTTTTATTGGATTTTCAAGTTTAACAGAAATCAAAATCATGATGATACTAACGTATGTGTACTTTTTTCTAAATGGAGCCACCTTAAACAAAATTCTAGCTACGCTCCTGGTTTTTTTTTTCCAAGAAATGTCAATAGAGAAAATTATACAATCTACCAAGACCCTTCCCAACCCATTACATCAATGAAGCTACCCAAAAAAGTCAAAGGAACATAACTCAAGAGGAGAGAGTAACAGGGCTTTCTGTGCCACTCTATGGGCAGCCCTGTTAGCAGTCCGGAGAACTGCCTTAATTGGTTTATAATATGGTATCAGACCTGATTTGCTTGAAACTCCAGACAATTTAATTGAGTAATGTTTAATTTGCACAGTGCTATTGATCACAATCACGACGGGCTTAAAAGCCTGTAACTCGACCCATGTGTGTTATCTGAAACTATCCACCAAAGCAAGCCCTTATTAACAATGCATGATTCAAGCTAAATTGAGCAATCCAATTTGATTCAATATTTTTTCAACGATCCTTTTATTTTTCAGCCCTTCAAATATCCTCATAGGAAGGAAGACCTTCAAAAAAATCATTTATATGCAACAAGAAAAAGTCTAATCAAATAAAATGATACTCCTTTTTGTCACAGACAATAGAAGAAAATAGATAATCAAAATACAACACTCAACCAAACACGACGACAATCATTGTCGAACTGTCAATGAAAAAGTCTTATAAGCTGCTAAATAGACATTTATGTTGTACAATAGAGGGATATCCGTAAATGTAATGTACAAGAGAATAAAGAAAATGACATCAAAATCATCCTCTAAATTTGTAACATTAAAAAAGGTTTTTGCTTTATCTTATTTTTTTGTTGTCAATAGATCACTCGTTATAAGAGGAAATCATTCAGATACATTGTAGCAAGAGGGTTCAAACATCCCTCGAATGAAGCCAAGAACAGAAGTCGAACCTCGAAAACAATTAAGGCGACATACTTAGAGCTTTACGGGCCACACAATGAGCCGCTCTGTTTCGAACTCTACCCAAGAACACAACCTGAGACACATCAACGATTTCAAGAAGATGGAAGATTTCTTGCAGGAGCACACCAATCTTGTTGTCAGCCGCGTCCCTAGCCAAACATTTGTCTATGATAAATTTCGCATCACCGCCAATGGATACCTCTTGCAACCTCCTCCTGTAACAATTTGCCAAGCAATCCCTCATCCCCAAAGCTTCCAAGATATATGGATCTGCAATTCCATCATACCGCCCAGCAGCAGCCCCGATAGTCCCGCCTGAAGGATAAAAAAAAACATATCCTATTGTTCCATACCCTTGAGATGAAGTTGCAGCGTCAAATGTAGCCTGGATACCATGACTAGCACGAAAAGCCTGCAATGGAATGGGAACAGAAGGTTATGTATGATAGACATTGTTAGGAAGAAGTAAAGCTTGTTCCACTTCCTTAACCTGATGTAACCATTGATGCGCTAAAACATGCAGTTGGAGTTGCTTTGCTTGGAACACCACCGAACACCTATTCTTCCACAACCGCCAAAGCAAGCAAACCACCTGCAGAATCAAAAAATCCTCATATGGACCATGAACCTTACTGAGAGTGTACCTAATGAAACCCTGAAACGTCTGTTTCTCAGCCTGTCTCCAAAATTTATGCATACCAATCAATCTCCAGAATTTTCTAGCAACCAAACAGGAGAAGAACAAGTGTTCAACTGTTTCCTCTTTTCTACCATAAACCAGACAAATGGGAATTAAATCCATACCTCGAATCGCCAATGCCTCCTTAGTTGAAAGAATACGATGTAATCCTTGCCACAAAAAGAATATCAACTTAGGTGGCACTTTCCTATCCCAAACCCATTGCCATAACATCCTATACATACATAAAACTTGATGTTTATTAGTGGAAGAAACAAGCTGCAAAGAAGAGAGGTATAGATATGCAGATTTAACAGAAAAAATTCCAGAGGATTCAAAAATGCCAGACCAGCTTTATCTTACTTTTTGGTAGGAGCATTTTAGTTTATGTGTAGCTCTTAATTTCTGCAGGAATGCTAGACCATTCGGGCCACAATTAAACATCCGAGCCCAACATTTATAGCCCAATCATTTAACAAGGCCTCTGTCTAGTTATCTTCCCAACCCAAGTCCTCTTGCCACCACTTCATACAATCTGGCCCAAAAATCTGGCCCATATTCTTTCCTTTATCTATTCTCCAAATCTCGATTGTTGATTAACTGAAGAATTAGTAACTAATTGTTTTGGCGGGAATAATAAAACACCTGGCACGGTTCCATTGGGTCCACAGAAGATTTTGTTGGGGATTATTACTGACAGGAGAAAATAGGACAGGTGGAATGGTTTCATTGGGTCGCTGCACCAAGCAGTCCAACGTGACCCAAGTTTTTCTCTGTAACCACGAACAAACTCACACACACTCTAGTCTCGATGGCTCGCCTAGGCAACCAGCGTTTATAAATCAGGGATCCTCCAAACATCACCTTTCTCAGTCACCATTTGATTTCATTTCAAAATTCGAATACCGTCTCTCGAACACTCTCAATTTCTCTATCCCAGTCGACGACGAAATCTCTTTCAGAGCTCCACCGCCATGGTAGTTAGCTTGGAGAGAACTCCGTCCGTTCGATTTTGTGCTTGTGTTCTTCGTTTCAATTTCCTCTCGAGCTGACTTCGTTTCGTTCCTTAATTGCTGTTCCAGGTTGACGAGAAGGAGAAGGAATCGGAGATCCTCGAACAGGATTCGCTTGTACAGGTATCCAAACTCTGTTCCCGTCGCTGCTTCTCTTCTTCTTCTTCGTCTACCTAAATCGATTAGAATATGTATAGCGTAGAAGAGTCCGTTTGATTTTGTGCTTGTTCTTCGTGTGAATTTCCTTTCGTGCTGACTTCGTTTTGTTCGATAATTGCCGTTTCAGGTTGACGAGCAGAAGGAGAAGGAAGCGGAGATCCTCGAGCAGGATGCGCTTGTAATGGTATCCGAACTCTGATCCCGTCGCAGCTTCTCTTCTTCTTCCTTTTCTATCTAAATCGATAAGAATATGTATATCGTAGAAGAGTCGGTTTGATTCTGTGCTTGTTATTTGTCTCAATTTCCACCCGAGCCGACTTCGTTTTCTTCGATACTTGCTGTTTTAGGTTGACGCGCAGCAGGTGAAGGAATCGGATATCACCGAACAGGATTCGCTTCTACTGGTATCCAAATTATGATCCCGTTGCTTCTCTTCTTCTTCCTCGTCTGTCTAAGTCAATTAGAATATGTATAGCGTAGAGAGAGTCCGGCTCGGTGGACTCCCCCATTGTGAGCTTCGTTTTGTGTAGAATACACATCTCGTTGATTCTTCTGTACTAATCGCTAATCGATGCTCTGTTTGCTTGCCGTTTTTTTTTTTTGGTGGTTCCTGGCATTACTAGCTAGAAATAGAATCGGTACTCTGTTAATCTAAGTGTGATCTCGTCTGTTTGTTTAGCTCGGATTCTATCTGTGTTATGTCGCATAAGCTGGTCTCTGCTAAGATAATGGCGCGCGTTGCCTTGCTTCCGTTTTCGAGAATTTCCTTATGTATTTCGCGTGATTCCTTCTGTATGTTTTGCTCTCGTCTGCTTGGTTTGCTCGGATTCTTTCTGTGTTCTCTCGCATAAGCTGGTCTCTACTGAGATAATGGCGCTTTGCCTACATGCTTCCGTTGGAGAATTTCCTCTGTATTTTGCGTGATTCCTTCTGTATTATCGCGTTTAAGCCGGTGATGATTGTGTGATAATGGTGCTGCTGCTCATCTTCAAGCTTTGTAATTAGTCATTTCTGTTTTAAATGTTCTAGATTGATTCTGAAGCTCAACCTAAGGAATTGGGGAAGGAACTTGCCAAGCTCGCACTTGAGTGGGGAGACAAACCAATGACATTTGATCCGAAGAAGGTGGCTAAAGTGCAGATGATTGTCGACCGCATGAGTGCTTTTTCCTCCATCACCAATACTTCTGCTAGGGTTGCAGAGTTGGAGGTACAGAAGAAACATGCGAAAAAAACAGGAGATGGAGCACGCCTTAAGGATAAAGAATCTGAAGCTCAACCTAAGAAATTGGGGAAGAAACTTGCCAAGCACGCACTTGAGTGGGCAGTCAGACCAAGGACATTTGATCCCAAGAAGAAGACTAAAGTGCAGTTAATTGTCGACATAATGCATGCTTATCCCTCGATAACCAATACCTCTGCTAGGGTGGCAGAGTTGAAGGAACAGAAGAAACAGGCGGAAGGAACAGGTGATGAAGCACTCCTTAAGAAGGTAGATTCTGAACTCATAACTCTTGAAGCCTCACTCTATAAGAGGAGGGAGATTATCCATGATGAACCGAAGACTGACGAGGGCCTTGAAGTTACAAAGGACCAGTCAGCTAGTCGGAAGAAATGGACTCTCGATGAGGTTCGATCTCTCGTCGAAGCTGTAAAATCAGTTGGGAAACTGAGCTGGGTAGAAGTGAAGGAATTGATGGGGTCTTCCCGCTCACAAGATCATATCAAGAGTAAATGGAAGGATTTGGTGATAGCTGCTGAGACACAAAGGAAGTCTCATGCTGGTTGTGAAATCCCTAATGAATTACTTGAAGAAGTGTTGCAGTTGAATAAGAGACTTCTGGAGAAGGCATAAAGGCTGTGAACAGGGAATTTCATGGAAAGTTGCTTGATGAAGATGGGTAATATACGTAACATCAACACTTGCCTTGCTTGCATGTGTAGTTCTTTCTTCTGCCTTTTGCTTCTCTTGGATCTTTCATTTGGCATTGAGAGCATGTTAAGGAAAGAAGAGATTGGTGGTGTGCTAGGGTAGGGGTTTTTTTTTTTTTTTTTTTGTAGCAGCAGGGGAAAGGCTGGTCTGGTGCCCCAATTTGCCACATTTCTGGAAAATTCAATTGTTCAAACTGTGGCATAATGCTTATATGGCACAAACTGCTATCATTCAGATGATATGGAGACGAGGTGAAGAAAGTTGTTCTGTAAACTGATTTCCTCGAAAGTGAGAATGATTGATCCAACAGTGTCACTGTAACCAACGGTACAGGTTTCATACAAACACCATGGAGTTAATGCTGCATATTACGGAAATATACCAAATACTTGTAAGATCCGGATTGTGTGTCTCCAGAAAAAAAAACAGCCAAGTCCACTGTCAAAATGAGGAGAAATTTTCTCTTAGTTGAAATGACATGCAGAAACATGAATTCAAATTTGACCCAATTGGAAAGATAACCCTTCTCCTAGCCAGCCATCGCCATCAAACCCATGAAGATAACAACTACTCATAATCCCAATTCCCACACATGTAGCAGTCACATCTCCAGCTAGTTCAATAAAGACAGGCATGAATCTGGATTGAGTAAGCTACATTTTATAACCATCGTAACTAGCAATACGCCGACAACTTTACATTATTATGAATTGAAATACAGAGCATCTTAAACTAAAACCAATGGCTGCCATCTTAAATAGATAATAATACCCAGATGTCCTTTCGAACAAGTTCATCGTCCACATTCTAAATAACATCCAACGCATGCTAAAACTTCGGTACTCCTGCTGCTGTCCATCATCCTACAGACCATCACTACATACGTTCAAGCGCCCAACAGCACCCACTCGCCAGAGGATGATCCTTTCACTTTAATTGATCACAGAAGATGAGTTTCTTCTACCACTCTTAGGCCACAAGCTGAGCGCCTTTCCCCACTTTCTGCTTCCTTCGAACGCAACGCTTAGAGTGTAATGCTGTTGATGATCTCTTGTCCTTCCTCCTACGACCAGACTGTTCAGCCAAGGGTTGGTATTTTTCTGTTCGTTCAGCAAAACAACCAACCAGTTGGTAAACAAAATATTAGAAGCCACACCACATGAAGAAATTGAGAGAATAACAACACAGACACACAATCTCAGTATCATCATAACATGAATGTCAACTTGGCAAGACAAGAGATGTATTTATGTATGCATGTGCTACTTAATAGGTAGGTCTTCACATCACTGAGCGAGGTCGTAGTTAGTAAGCAGACATACAGCGCAAGAGAAGAGAGGCCAGGGAGAAAGGTTAGAATTCGAAGTAATTATTACCAATGGTTGAGGGAGGAGTTGTCACAGTGCTGCTCTGAACCCAACAATCGTAGCTTCCATCGTACACACCTCGCAGGTCCTCGTACCCTGGAATAGGAGTAGGCCAGCAAGAGACTCTAGGCTGCAACGCCCTCCAAGTGGGTTTAGAGCAATTCAGTGTTACTCCAGAAAAGAATTCAGGCTTTCCCTTTCTCGTCCGCAAATTGAAGGAGAAAATACGATCCTCCAAGTATCTAAAGAATACCATTTCCGGCTTCTCGGGATGCAGATCAAGCACAAAGCAGTTCTCAAGTTCAAACTGACCACACAACAAGGATGTCCTCTTCAACGCCATTTCATATATTTTGCTCCACAGATAACGCTCGTCATCATCTTTTTCCAGTCTCCAAACACTCAAGGCATTCCTCGAACCATAACGTACACCTTCAACTTGCAACAGAACTATGTGCAAAGCGCCCTGTGAGACCGAAATATTCCCACTTCCATTGCACAACGGGTTCCACAATTTAGAAGGTACGGTAAGAGCTTTGGTGGCGAGTATATCTAGGCGGAAAGGATCATCTGCAACAAGCTCCGAGTGCAAGGAAGAGGGATCAAGATTCATCCGAAACAACAGCCCGTTCCACCAGACTACATTGGTCCATGGCCTTTCAAAGGAGTTCCTCATAAAAATCCGCGTCCATTCTCCAGACTCGGAACAAAACACGTCCTGTATCAAATCCATGCCACTCGATAAATGACGCACCACGCGAAAACGATACTCTGAATAAATAAAGGCTGCTGCTGCAGGTTCTGGTTCTGGTTCGTCTCCTAGCTGCTGCACAAGGTTATAATTACTACTAATGCTAATAGTACAACGGGGTTGACAAGCTAACACTACCACAGAACGTTCATACCCACCTTCCGGCCTTGTAGGCGCCAATGGAAGGGCGATCCACTGCTTTGTAAACGGATTGCAGACCGAGTAGGACCTACCCAATTCGCTAAAATAGTCCTCAAACCCGCACAAAAGCAAGTCCTTGAAGCAATCGAAGGCTCTCAAACGCGGTCGAGCTTCATCGGGTACGGGGAGAAAGCTGAGGATGGACAGGGGATCGTGTGCGGGAACAAACAGAGCTGCTGGTCGGTACCTACTCCGGTGATGAGAAATAAAACGGCGATTGAAGCTGGGGTCGGATATGAGGGATCTCCACCGCTTGCAGATGGCTTTGCAGCGGCAGGAGTATCTAGGATTGGGGAGGCGGATCAGAATTTCGACGACGAGGTCGTCAATCAGTTTTCCGAACAGATTCAGGGGAGGCGGAGAAGGGTTTCCCTCTGGACAGAACCGGCGCCGTTTTCTGAGGGCGGAAGGGGGAAGGAGTGAGCTTGGCGGCAGATCCCAATCAGAACTGCCATCATTCTCGGTCGTTGCCATGATTGTAGATCGACAAACGCCTAGATTGAAACGAGACATGCCCGCTGGAGGTGACAAAGTTGGGTTTTTTTTTATTGATTAATGGAACCACTCAACGGAAGAGAAGGGAAGGGAAGAGAAGAATCCGAGATAGACAATGAAACGGAAAATGCCCTAAACCAGTTAAACATGGCCGCTGCGGAGTGGGATTCATTCAGTTTTCGGCTTTTCTTTAGTTTTGGGCTTTTGATATTTGGGCTCCAGATACATAAACAGAGTACGGTAATCAACCGAACAATTCAGGGCCCAATCGTGAATTGAATCGACGAATGGGCCGGCCCCTTCCCCACTTATTTCCTCTGCTTTGACAACAGGACAGTAGGCTGAACCGGAAAAATTAGTCTTTTAGGGTTCAGTGGTTAATCGTTACAAAATTATTGGTTAACCGTGGATAGAATTGTTCATAATAGATAACATATAAGACTTGTATATTACACTAATTTAAGAATGAAGTTATCATTGACCATAAACAAATTCAAATTCATATCATCACCAAAAAATCTAATAAATCATTTAAACCATCTCACCAAAAAAAACCATACTCTTAAATTTAAATTAAAAATTACGGTTCCAATCGATAGTGGACAACATAAAGTTGACAACAAGGTTGGAATGAGAAGAGGAGGCATATGTAAAATTATTATTGATTATTTAGTTTATGTTAAAAGCACTTTTTAATTTTTTTGTTGGTTAAGATAGTGAACCAATGGACCTGTTAAATCGTGGTGATTCATTTAATTTTATGTTGAACTGTGAAAAATCGTTTGGTACATGAATAACCGTACAAGCAATAAACCGGACCGCACTATTATAACTGATTTAACGATTCTACTGGACCGGCCGTTTATCCGTTTCGATTCTTATAAGAATGCTTATTTCCTTTTTCTCTTCCCGAGTGAGTGGATTCAAATCCTGGATTTTAATCTCACTTTTTTGTTGTAATAGCCTCGGCTCGGCTCGGCAAACCTCTGCCTCCCCATCTCGAGCAATAACTCCTCTACTGTGTCTGCCCTGGCTCGTTCCCCGGCGTTTTCCTTTCTTAGCTTCTTCTTCTTCCTCTACGGTGTCATGCATCCATTTTAATGTCTTTTCTTCTTTCTTTTCTTGTTTCTCCCCCCAGCGCCCAGTAGTCATCGTCTCAGGCTCTCAGCAGTGTCTTTCGTTCTTTCTTTCGTGCTGACATGCATCATGCATTGAGTAGGTACTATGGGCCACAGCAATAATGTATAACACTTTAATTTCGAACCACCGATGTTCGGCCCTTAGACCAATGGGTTATTATGTACCTTCTTATGAAATGAAATTAAATTGCCCTAGTATTATCAAACCCACAAACAAATTAGACTATATCGCGGTAAGATAAAATTGAAAATTCTCAATTCTATAATCCTTACTTTAAAATATTTCTTATTCTACTGAATATACCAAATACCACTGATTTACTGGATTCCTGTTTAACGCCCTAACTTTTTTTTTAAATTCTCGCACTAAATTAACCAAACAGATCATATTACCCCCACCACCTAAAACGATAGCCCCAACATGCGCCATAATCCCTAATTTGCTATGGTCGCCGGCGAAAGGAAAATCCGGCTCTTGAAGTTCACCGGCGACTGACGATTCTCGCGCGGCTGCTCTCTCGGGTTGACGGAAACCTTCACAAACTTCGCGCGGAAGCTCTGCTACTCGGTTGACAGGCGACATCTCGTGTGGCTGCTCTGCTACTCGCTCTGCCCCGTCTCCGTTGCCAGGCCTGCCGCTCCGTCGATTGAGGACGCATAAGAGAGAATCGAATCTCGTCCCGCCGGTCGTCTCTGTTATCGCCGGGTTCAATCGTTTGTCCATCGATGTTTTTCGGAGGAGGAAGGAGGGACCGCTGCGCTGAGGTTCTTCGTGGTCGAGGAAGGAGGAGGAAGGAGGGCGACGTGGGAGCAATGGGCAGTTGCGGCGACGACGAACGAGGATTCAAGGCGAACGGCGGCGACGAGGGAAGAAACTCAGGGCGAACGGTGGCGATGGGAGCGGCTGATTGCTGAGCAGAGCGGGGATTAGGGCGGCGTTTTTTGGAAATTAGGTTACTGATTGGGAATTTTGTGGGGCAAAAACGTCAACTTAATTAAGCTAGGGCGATAAATTTAAAAAATTAGGGCGTTGATTAGTAATTTATCGCATCATAATACGATGGATAATCATAATACCTACATATATAGCTATTCTAACATCATCTAGCCTGCAACCCCCGCATTGATTGTTTCATTTTGATTTCGGTACGTAGACTTTCATAATACAGTAAGTTAGTAACGTGTTAATGAGTTTCTCATCTTATCTCTCCTCGCCCCCTATATAAATATCCCTTTTCCTACTCCCCCAACCACAACAGCAACCCCTCCCCCCTCCTCTTCCCCTTTCTTCCTCCCTTGCTTGTTCCACCGACGGAGAACCAGAACCGGGACGACCAAGCTCAGCAACCGGCACCACAACCACGACCACCGACGAATATACCCTGCAACCAATGTCCTGCATCTTCAGACATTGATTGCATGGTATATTTGCCGGTGGTCGTGGCTGTGGTGCCGATTGCTGAGCTTGATCGTCCCGGTTATGATTCTCCATCGATGGAACAAGCAAGGGAGGAAGAGGATGGGGGTTGTGAGCAAGAAGATGTCAAGCTCGCTGAATAAGAAGAGGAGTCACTGGGACGGAGCCCATCGTCGGACCCACCCGAACCTGTGCCCGTACTGCTTCGAGAGGGAGCAGGAGCTTGAAGTTCATAGAGCTGAGCAGCACAACGGTTGAGCGAGGATTCTTGGTGGTGGGCTGAAGTAGCTAGTAGTAGTATTGCAGTTGTTATTAATTTCTTTTTTTTTTGTGGTAAAAGACAGACGCTAAAGCGTCTAGAACTCATATATTAATGAACCTGGGTTGTGAAACACCCATAACATCATAGTCAAGCCATTTACAAAGCTCATGGCTGTCCACATCAACATGATGTGTTCCAAAAGTAAGATTGTGACCAAAACTAGCAAGAAAATCAGCAGCATGATTTCCTTCTCTATACACATGAGAAACAGACACAATCCATTCACGATTCAGGAGGTTGCTGATGTGTTGGGCCAGCAGTCCATGCCTGTGATCATCATCCGACCGGTTTTTCATAATGGTGATAGCAGTAGTAGAGTCCAGCTTGAGTTCAACATGGCGGAAGCCCTTCTCCCATGCGATCTCAAGCCCAACAGCTGCTCCTTTGAGTTCTGCTGCAGTGATTGAGCAGTTTCCCAAGTTGCAAGCAAAAGCTGCACAGCAGCGTCCCAAGCAGTCACGAATAAGGCCACCTGCAGCAGCAAGACCTGAGGGAGAGAGGACAGAACCATCAGTCTGGACCTGTACCCATCCCTCAGGTGGAGGGATCCATCCAACCTGGACTTCACTTCTCGTTCTTTCGGGCATGAAGCTTCTGTCCACATTTTGCAGGGCCTTCTGATAAATATTGAACCAAGCCTCAATCCTGCAAATAAGTGATTTCTCCACATACACAATGCCTTCCATACATTCCTCGTTCCTCTGTTTCCAAAGGTGCCACACAATCAGGCCAAATTCAGTACCTTGGTTTGCATCCTCAAGGTTCTTGGACATCCACTCCTTGAAAGGTAGGTTTCTATCCTTGCAAGTAACCCTGGTTCTGAACTTTTCCCAGACCCCTTCAGTCTTCCTGCAGAGTCTGATGATATGTTCTGTGGTTTCTTCAGTGTCCTTACAATGGTTACAGTTGCCATTCAGGGTGAGCTTCCTTTTCACGCGTTCCTTGTTTGTGAGAAGTTTGTCATGCATCACCAACCAAAGGAAGTGTTTTGTGCGACTTGGCCCCTTCCAACTCCAGAGCTTCTTCCAAAAACCCTCCTCAGTTGTCTCCAGCTGATCAGCAGCAATCTTATAAGCTGATTTGAGCCTAAACCTCCCGTTCCTCTCCAATCCCCAAATACATTTATCTTCTCCCATATTACTTTTTGGGGGTTCCATTCCAGCAATCAGGGGCAGGAGATTAGGAGGGAGGAGGGTCTGAAGCTTTTGCCAATCCCAGTTTCCATTGTAGTCTGTCCAGTCAGCAACTGATGAGTCCTCATGTGGGATAGGACTATTCTGAGTAATGAAATCCTTGAGGAAAATGCCTTGATCCAGCCATGGATGATGCCAGAAGCTAGTGGTTCTTCCATTCCTGATGCTCCAGTTTGTGGCACTCTTCATAAGGGGCATGGCCTTCATGATTGCCTTCCACAAGCTAGAGTGGTTGCTTTTTTTCATTCCCACAATTTGGCCCTCCTTGTGCTTGAAATATTTTCCCTGTATAACCTGCACCCACAAATCGGAGCTATTGTTAAGAATCTGCCAAGCAAGCTTAATCATGAAGGCAAGATTAAGGCTTCTAGCAGACCTTAAACCCAACCCCCCTTGGTTCTTAGGTTTACAAACATTATCCCAAGAGACAAGGTGAACTTTCTTTTTTTCCTCACTCGATCCCCAGACAAACCCCCTGATTTTCTTGTCAATCAACTCACAAACAGAAATAGGAATCATAGAGGTCTGCATAGCATACACAGGGATGGCATTCAACACAGAAAGAGCGAGGGTAACCCTACCAGCAAGGGAAAGGGTTCTGGCTTTCCATGAAGACAATTTCTGATCAATTTTGTCAATGATATAACGATAAGTGTTCCTATTAATCCTTCCATGGATGACAGGGACCCCTAGGTACTTTCCTAAGTCAAGGGTGGATTGGATCCCAAGTTTATCACAAATGTCTTTCCTATCTCTATCTCTAGTGTTCTTGGAAAACAAAATTCTAGACTTTTCCCTGCTCACCAACTCTCCTGAGGCATTACAGAAACATTCAACACATTGGTTGATGATTTCTGCTTGCTTCAAAGAGGCTTCAGCAAAAAGGACAAGATCGTCCGCAAAGAAAAGGTGAGACAAAGGGGGTCCTCCAGGGGAAAGTCTAATCGGAATCCATCTTTTACCATCAACAGCCTCAGAAATACAGTGACCTAATCTTTCTACACAAAGCGTAAAGAGATAGGGTGAAAGAGGGCATCCCTGTCTAAGGCCTCTGCTTGGTTTGAAGCTCTCAGTTTCACCTCCTTCCCACAGCACCTGCATCTCAACAGTTGTGACACACTTCATGATGATGTTAACCAGGCATTGGGGAATTCCTGCCAGATCCAGGGTTTCAGCAAGGAAGTCCCAGTCCAAACGGTCATACGCTTTTGCCAGGTCCAGCTTAAGGAGCATCATCCCCTTTCTTCCCGTCTTCTTTGCCATTGAATGGACGGTCTCCTGTAAAATGAGGATATTATCAGTAATATGACGATTAGGCACAAAACTAGACTGGTTAGGTTTCACAAGAATAGGCATGATGCTTTTAAACTTGTTGGCTAAGCATTTAGCCATCACTTTGTAACCAACGTTACAGAGGCTAATTGGCCTAAATTGGCTCATAGAACAAGGGGAATCAACTTTAGGGATTAAGGCCAGTAGAGTCTCATTAATGAGCCTTATACTGTCTGGATTCCAGAAGCAATTCCTAATGAAACAACAGAAATCTTGACCCACAAGTTTCCAGCATCTTTTAAAGAAAAGAGCATGGAAACCATCTTTCCCAGGGGCCTTAAGGCCATCCATATCCTTAACAATATTGTAAATATCATCAGGAGAGGGGGTTTAGTCAGTTGCTCCCAAATACGGTTATCCAGGGGCGGGAAGAGGGCAGGAATGGAGTGTTGGGAGCATCTGGTGACTTTGGTGAACAGCTGAACGAAGTGCTCTCTTGCCAAAGCTTGAAGTTTGTCAGGATCAGTGATCCAATCCCCATCTTCGTTCTTCAGGCTGACAATTTTGTTTCTCTTCCTCCTGCAGAGCGTACTGGTATGGAAGAACCTAGTGTTCTGGTCCCCATAGATGTTCCAGTTAGCTCTAGACTTTTGGAACCAAAGAGTCTCTTCCTGCCAGAGAACATCTTCCAGTTCTTCTCTAGTGCTCTGCTCCTTAGCAAGGGATGATGATGTAGGGTTCCTAGCATTCAGGGACTCGAGGGACTTAAGATCATTTGCCAGTCTTCTTTTCTTTCTGAAGATGTTCCCAAAGGTATCTTTGTTCCAATCCTTGAGTTTGCTGGACAGGTCCTGCAAAGCACAGGGAAGGGGATGACCATTTTTCCATTCAGAAGTAACAAAGGGGAGGAATTAATCATGAGCAAGCCAAGGAGCAAGGAATTGGAAACGTCTCACCAATTTGGAAGAGGCTGAGATGCTTTTGTTGCAAAGCAGGATCGGTCTGTGATCCGATTTCATTTTGATCAGGTGAAAGACAGTGGTTTGGGGGTACTTCTGTGTCCATGCCAGGTTGCAGAGACCTCTATCAAGCCTTTCCCTGACTCCAGATCCACCTTTGAACCAAGTAAACCTAGGACCTGTGAATCCAAGATCCATAAGTCCACAGTCTTCAATGAAACTGACCAGGGGTTTCACTTTTGCAAAGCTGAAACTGGCTCCTCCCTGTTTGTCAGCCGGTCTTGTGATGGAGTTGAGGTCTCCAAACAGCATCCAAGGGCCACTGATTCTGCTGCTGATCCCACGAAGAGCATCCCATAATTCACTTCTGGCATGCTCATTCGGGTTGGCATAGATAGCAGTGAGAGCACAACATTCTCCATTTGACACAGAGCAGTTCAAGTGAATGAACTGCTTGTGTATCTCAAAATTAGACATCTGCAAGTCGTTCTTATTCCACAGCAACCATATGCCTCCACTAAATCCAGAGGCATCAGAGATTTCCCAGGAATCAAAACCAAGTTTAGTGATGATGTCCATGGCATCTTTCCCACTAACTCTCGGTTCAACAATGCAGACAATGTTTGGTTTATGAGTAGACTTATAAAACTCAAAAGTAGGACGAAATTTGAGATGCTTCGCACCTCTGCAGTTCCAAGAGAAGACTTTAATCATTATACAGATTAGTGAGTACTTCCCTTCCCTCAACACAAGGTTGAAACTTAGACGAGGTCAACGGCCATAGCCGTCCCATCCATTTCTCCACTGCAATTAGCTTTGGGATCATGGATAGCATTTTCAGGTTTCTGTGCTTCCTCTTCCTGCTTGGATTCAAAGCTGATTCTGCGGGGAGGATGCTTCACATTTTCTGGTGACAGTTTATTTTTCATCTCAGGGCTTCTACCTTGCTTTCCATTCTTTAGACTCATTTCCTTCATTTTTGGTTGATGACCTTGCTTGGCATCCTTGGAGCTTTCTTTCCCCGTGCCATTTTTTTGTTTGGCTTGATTAGCCATACTCGTAGATGTATGTTGGACATCAGCCTGCAGGCTGACATTGTGCCCCTTGGTCCCTGATGCCATGACTTTCTTACTGACTTGGCCCTCTTGTTTCTTCTCTCCCGAACTCAGCTTGGCTCTAGATTTTGAAGCCTCCTCTCCCTTTTCCATGGCCAGTTTAGAGCTGGTTTTAAGATGTTCTGGTGTCATTTTCTGGTGTGGTTTCCTATTCTGATCTCCATCCGTATTTTCCTTATGCTTCTTTTTCTCCTGTTTCTGATTTTCCTTTTGCTGCTCTTTTTCCTTTTCCCTACTTGATTCCACTTGACTATTCTCCTTCCCCGCTCCATTATCTGCTTCCATGTTCTCTCCTGTGGTAGTAGTTTCCTCCTCTTCCTGAGCTTCTTGAGTATTCTTTTCTCCCTCTTCAGATTCTTCTTCCAATACATTGAACCTGGATCCTGAAGTTTCTTTCTTCTGATCCTCTTCTCCTTGCACCTTTCCCCCTGCTTGTTGTTGGACTTTAGGCCTAGGTTTCCTCCGATTCCTTGTGGCCAACATCCATGGCCCAAAATCCTCCAAGATTTCAGGTCTGATTTCTGGCTCAGCTGGTTTACTACTAGCCTTCATTCGGTCCTCGGGTGATGATGTCTCACGCTGAGAGCCCTGTGGACAGGAGTCCTCGACATGGCCATAATGCCCACACCCAAAACAAACAGTATGGAGTCCTTCATACTCCACCCTCCTAACCCTTCTTTTGATCCGATACTTAGAAACTAATCTTTTCCTCAGATCTATTTCCACACAGATGCGAGCATAATTCCCCCTTGATCCATTGGCCGTGTTGAAATCAATCTTTTCCACTCTACCCAGCTTATCTCCAATATCGGAAAGAATTTCTTCATCAAAATATGCTAGAGGTAACCTTGGAAGTCTGACCCAGACTGAAGCTCTGTTAATGGAGTCGAAGTCAGGATCAAAGTCAATGCGCCACGGTTCAGAGGCAATGTAGTGGTCGTCAATGGTCCATGGACCCCCATACAAAGCACGATCGTGATCAAGCTGCGAATCGAATATCGCCTGGAAATAGCCATTTCCTATGTCTCCAATCTTGACCCCTCCTGTTTTAGCCCACATTTTATGAATTCTGCGGTGGATAAAAGCAAAGGGGAAGGCCTTACCCAGAACACGAAAAGTGATTGCACGCTTCCATCGATTACGGATTCGCGCATCAGTGCTTTTCTTAAGCCGGATAGTGGGGCAATCGGGATCGTCCTCTGCCTCCTCTCCTTCAGATTCATCAGACATCAGGTCATCTCCCTCGGGGATCTCTTCTGGCGGTCCATTTCCAAGGAAGGAATCCTTGTATGAGAGCTTTGTTCCCCCCGAATCAGTCTCCATTGGCTTACTTTCCTTGTTCCCTACATTAAAGTTCACTTCCTCCTGCAGATTTTCCTCATCGGTGCCTCTTGCTGTTACAATTGCAAAATCCATACCATCTTCTTCAAGGAATCCATCCCCGCCGCTGGCTCTGGCACGCTTGCTGGGTTGGCTAGGTGTCGTCGCCGGCGATCCGTCCGGTGGCTTGAGGCAGTGGTCCGCCTCTACCGAGGGAGGCTTGCTCCCAACGGTCATCAAAAGGTCGAAGAAAACCCAGAAAGTAGGAGAGAGGTGGGAGCGAAATTTTCAGGCTTCTCTCCTCCTTTGTTTTCTTTCATTTTATTAATTTCTTTTGGTCTATGCCTTCTTCCCCTGTTATCTTCCAGTTGTGTGTTTCCCCACTTTCACCTTCCCGTGTTGTTTTCTATGGAAGATCAGATTAGTAACTCTTAAATCTTGTTTTCCAATAGAGTCAGAGCCTGCATTTATCTTTCCGCATTCACAATATTTTACAAGCCAAGTTGTAGAATCAGCGGCAGCGCTCGGAGCCTTCACGTCTCGTCTTGGGTGTGGTGACGGTGGTAATGGTGCTGGGCATGCTCGGAACCGAAAAAGTATTTTAGTCAGCCACGTTTGAAAGCAAGGATACTCCCCTTCCATTTTCTCGTTCAATCTTAAAAGTCATAATGGTAATGGAAGATCCATATTTGGGAAGATCAAAGTTAAGACGTTTATAAGGTGAGTCCAAAATCTTAATTATTTGATATATTTTTTCGTTGGCTAGGCTAATAAAATAACACTTTTCTGGTGAAATAATTATTGCGTATATAATTTTGGGAATAAATTTTCATTATTAGAAAGAAAGTTATTGACAGCAAAAACAATATCTTCATTTGCTAGTAACTAAGCTTTCATGCATGTATTCTCTTATTCGCTTTCGATTAATTTTTATGAAGGTTGAATGAATTATCATTTTTCTTATCGAATTTTGAGCGTTACGGAATGTCATGGAATTGGCACGTGAATTGGTTTTCTGTTGTCTAACATTCTGGTGATTCTCAATAGTTGGTCCAACGAAAGTGAATGCGGGAATCACTTCTCATTACGTGACAACTCATAGTCATATATGCTTTTACCTTCTTCTTCTTTTTTCTCATTGTTCTTTTGCGCAGCTTCACAAGGGATGCACGTTTAGTGACAAACATGGTCCTTTCTTCCATAGTTCAACTATTGATTGACTGTCGAGTAGTGACAAACATGGTCCTTTCTTCCATAGTTCAACTATTGATTGACTGTCGAGTTTGGTTATTGAAATACTATAATTTGACGATATTGATTAAGATGTAAACAAACAAAAAAAAAATAAAGGTATTTTAGAATACCTCATTTTGGTGAAATGTGGTCGTCGTCATCATCATCACCAATCACCATTATCATTCATCCATTCAAGCAAACAATCCCACACCAACGCTCGAACCCCATACCTCAGGGAGTAAGGTCGGTCAAGGTTTCATAACCAGCTCGGCGCCGGTGGCCTCAAAGTTTCCAAGTTTGATTTTTACATTGTTGGTGGTCGGAAACGTTCGACAGTGGGCGGGCCGCTCCTACTCCCTATGTTTATGGGCTTTCTCTCATGGGCCTCAAAATGTAAAACGAAAGGTATACACCTCTTTAGGACTGGCATGTTGCCTATACATATACACACACAGTGAATTGAGAATTTGAGATCACTTGGTGCCGTGTCGCAGGGGCTATCTGCTCTCACCCTAAGTAGGTCAAAACTCACCGAATTCGAAGGAAGGAAGCTGGCCGCTGAACAAACCACATCAACCATTTTCCCAACTTTCACTCATCGATCCCCTCTGGTTTGTTGCCACATTTACACGTCACTCTTCCCCGCCCTTCAATTCATTGGAACTCTTCAACTTACAGTCTCACACCATATCATCACACATCCTTATAGTCATTGCCCTCGTTTTCATAGTTTGGAAACTGAATGACTTTGGGGCCATTAATAAATTGACTAAATTCGTATTGAATTAGTTTATTATAAATGTGTCGTTCTCGGTTTGAAAATAGTTAACATGAAAGTATGACGTCAAGTTAGCCTAATTTAAAAACTGGTAGCAACAAAGATCATTCGAATTCTTGTTTGATAGAGAAAACATGTTGTGTCTCGTATCTTATTGAAGTCCGACTCGTTACTTGATTCACTTTCAATAATGTATAATCTTAAACTACCATATTCTCTTTCTTCCTCTTCACGATAATTGATTATCTTGTATGCCACATATATTTGTCTACATAGTATTCACTTTATCAACTAACCTTGAACTAACAATAATTTTTTCATGCACAAACTAACGCTCAGCCAAACACTCAAATGATTTATGTTGTATACACCACAAATTTGTACCACATATTAAAACGATACGTCATTCTACCAGATATATTTTCTTAATTTGAAATTGAAAGAAACGGGATTTTTTTATACACTCAAAATTTAGGATATACCCACAAAATTTAGGATATTTTTTTTATACGTCATTCTACCACATATTAAAACTGTTACTGATATATATTTAAACATCACAGTAAAAATAAAGAACAAATAAAATTGTCCAAAGACCGATCTAAAAAGGGCTAAAAGCCCAAGTATCCTTTTGCACAAAAAAGAAAAGCCCAACCATCTTAAAAGGAAGCGGGTAAAGGCCCAAGGGCCAAAACGGAGAGAGGTATCCAATCTGTTGGCGTCTTGGCAACCATTACCAACGAAGCAGCGCGCTGTCAAGAGATTGGTGAGGGAAAAGAGGAATATTCAGACAGAATATTCTTTTCTAGTGGCAGAGCACTCTGTTTTTTCTTGAGGGGTTTCTCTTCCTTTCTCTTCTTCCCACATGTCCAAATCACAGCGCAGTAATTCGCTCCCAGCACGATTACCATCCCCACCTTTTCCACCGATCATATCAATCAATCAATCCCACCTCCGATTGACCTCTCTAGCCCCCTTCCTAAGTCGTGAAGCCGTCGCCGGAGCAGTAGATTCTTTTGACGGACGGTAGATCTCCGAAAGAGGATTAATCCACAAAGCGGTGACGAAGCTACCAGGAAGCTTCGCTGCTATACAAAAGGACAAGACGGAGGACAGATACGTCTGAATTCTGATTCGTTGCTTACAACACCAGCAACCGTGGTTGTGTTCTTCTTATTTCCCTTCCCTCAACCTCCATGCCTCAACCCCCGCCGACGATCGCCATTCCATTCCCATAGTCAACTCAATTCGACTTCCTGCCCTTTTAATCGCTTGAGATTTTTATTCAGAAGATGCCGATAATGATGCTCGCGGTGGCGGTTCACCATATGGGTTTGCTGTTCGGGACCCTATGGGGGCTTCAGGAGCTCCGATTCGCTGCAATTTTTGAAGCAGTGCGCTCTGCCCTCTCCTGCTTCACCATGGCTGTAGTCTGCTGTGTCTTGTCCTTTCGCAGTCGCAGAAACCGGCGGTCCCGAGATTCTACCGTCGTCCCTTTCATTTGACCTCCTTACCGCTTCTTCGTGTGATTGCTTGATTCTGCATATACATTCCTCTGTTGCTCCATTCTGCAATTGTCTGTTGCTCTTTGTATGATCAGTCAATATAGATTTATGTTCAGCTTTGGATTATCATCCTCCAAGCTTTAACCTGATGGATGGAGCGATTAGTTTGTTAGTTAGTCCTCCAAACTTGAATGACTAGATATGTTGAACATCAAAGCTTGCTGATATATGATCTGTTAACGAATCAGGGTTTGGTGGGTGTTCTATGTAACTGACTCATCTTTAACAATTTGAGCAACTGACATACTGCAGAGACTAATCCCCAATTTACCACCATTCACTGTGAATGGTGATAAATTGCAAGGGATGGGGAGTATCATCTGCATTCAATGGCTGTTACCCAGAATGGGAAAACAGTTTGGTAGAGATTTATGAGTGTTACCCAGCTCCATCCCTACAAATTCTATACAATCCAAGTGCTCCGTAAACTTCAAACGCAAAAATGGGATCATGCACATGTAATGTCTTGTCCTGTTCGTTCATAGATTTCAGAGTTGTTGGGGTAGGAGTGGTACTGGTATGTTCGTTAAAACTTTTCCCTTAGAGAGACAACAGAGAAGGGAGTACACGAACGGTTGTATTAAAGTATCGTGAGTCGTGACATTAGAGCGGTAAATAGAATGACCAATTATATATGGTGTTGTCACGTTAGAATTACAGGATTTTGTACCAAATGAATAGTCTCAGACTGAATTCGTGATCTGCACTCTTCAAAATCGAAAGAAAATGAATTTTCGAAAAAATTGTCTAAAATTAAGAAAATTTCCTCCAGAAAAATTCGTCCAAATTTTTGCCCATATCGCGCATTGCTAAACTTCATCGTTTGTGGAGAGTATCCTAAAGTCGAATCTGTGATGCATCGCCTTCAAAATCCAAGGGAAATGATCATTCCAAAAAATCGCTGAAATCGGTGATAATACCCCTTTGGAATCTGGCAAAAATTGCCCCGCGAGTTTTCCGACCGAATCGCTCTTTAATAGACTTATCCATCCCTAAATAATAGCCTCAGGCTGAATCCTTGATCTGCACCCTTCAAAATCGAAAGAAAATGGCCTTCCGAAAAAATCGCATAAAAATTAAGAAAATGCCCTCCGGAAAATTCCGTCCAAATTTCCGCCCAAATCGGCCATTGCTAGACTTCATCGTTGGTGGAGAGTACCCTAAGGCCGAATCTGTGATGAATCGCCTTCAAAATCCAAGGAAAATGACCATTCCAAAAAATCGCCGAAATCGGTGATGGTACCCCTTTGGAATCTGGCAAAATTTGCCCCGGGAGTTTTCCGACCGAATCGCTCTTTAATAGACTTATCCATCCCTAAATTATAGCCTCAGGCTGAATCCGTGATCTGCATCCTTCAAAATCGAAGGAAAATGGCCTTCCGAACAAATCGCATAAAAATTACGAAAATGCCCTCCGGAAAATTCCGTCCAAATTTCCGCCCAAATCGGCCATTGCTGGACTTCATCGTTGGTGGAGAGTACCCTAAGGCCGAATCTGTGATGAATCGCCTTCAAAATCCAAGGAAAATGACCATTCAGAAAAATCGCCGAAATCGGTGATGGTACCCCTTTGGAATCAGGCAAAATTTGCCCTGGGAGTTTTCCGACCGAATGGCTCTTTAATAGACTTATCCATCCCTAAATAATAGCCTCAGGTTGAATCCGTGATCTGCACCCTTCAAAATCGAGGGAAAATGGCCTTCCGAAAAAATCGACTAAAAATTACGAAAATGCCCTCCGGAAAATTTCGTCCAAATTTCCGCCCAAATCGGCCATTGCTAGACTTCATCGTTGGTGGAGAGTACCCTAAGGCCGAATCTGTGATGAATCGCCTTCAAAATCCAAGGAAACTGACCATTCCAAAAAATCGCCGAAATCGGTGATGGTACCCCGTTGGAATCTGGCAAAATTTTCCCCGGGAGTTTTCCGACCGAATCGCTCTTTAATTGACTTATCCATCCCTAAATAATAGCCTCAGGCTGAATCCGTGATCTGCACCCTTCAAAATCGAAGGAAAATGGCCTTCCGAAAAAATCGCATAAAAATTAAGAAAATGCCCTCCGGAAAATTCCGTCCAAATTTTCGCCCATATCGTCCATTGCTAGACTTCATCGTTGGTGGACAGTACCCTAACGACGAATCTGTGATGAATCGCCTTCAAAATCGAAGGAAAATGACCATTCCAAAAAATCGACGAAATAGGTGAAGGTACCCCTTTGGAATCTGGCAAAATTTGCCCCGGGAGTTTCCGACCGAATCGCTCTTTAATAGACTTATCCATCCCTAAATTATAGCCTCAGGTTGAATCCGTGATCTGCATCCTTCAAAATCGAAGGAAAATGGCCTTCCAAACAAATCGCATAAAAATTACGAAAATGCCCTCCGGAAAATTTCGTCCAAATTTCCGCCCAAATCGGCCATTGCTGGACTTCATCGTTGGTGGAGAGTACCCTAAGGCCGAATCTGTGATGAATCGCCTTTAAAATCCTAGGAAAATGACCATTCCAAAAAATCGCCTAAATCGGTGATGGTACGTACCCCTTTGGAATCTGGCAAAATTTGCCCTGGGAGTTTTCCGACCGAATGGCTCTTTAATAGACTTATCCATCCCTAAATAATAGCTTCAGGCTGAAGCCGTGATCTGCACCCTTCAAAATCGAAGGAAATAGGCCTTCCGAAAAAATCGCCTAAAAATTACGAAAATGCCCTCCGGAAAATTTCGTCCAAATTTCCGCTCAAATCGGCAATTGCTAGACTTCATCGTTGGTGGAGAGTACCCTAAGGCCGAATCTGTGATTAATCGCCTACAAAATCCAAGGAAAATGCCCATTCCAAAAAATCGCCGAAATCGGTGATGGTACCCCTTTGGAATCTGGCAAAATTTGCCCCGGGAGTTTTCCGACCGAATCGCTCTTTAATAGACTTATTCATCCCTAAATAATAGCCTCAGGCTGAATCCGTGATCTGCACCCTTCAAAATTGAAGGAAAATGGCAAAATTTGCCCCGGGAGTTTTCCGACAGAATCGCTCTTTAATAGACTTATCCATTCCTAAATAATAACCTCAGGCTGAATCCGTGATCTGCACCCTTCAAAATCGAAGCAAAATGGCCTTCCGAAAAAATCGCCTAAAAATTACGAAAATGCCCTCCGGAAAATTTCGTCCAAATTTCCCCCCAAATCGGCCATTGCTATACTTCATAGTTGGTGGAGAGTACCCTAAGGCCGAATCTGTGATGAATCGCCTTCAAAATCCAAGGAAAATGACCATTCCAAAAAATCGCCGAAATCGGTGATGGTACCCCTTTTGGAATCTGGCAAAATTTGCCCCGGGAGTTTTCCGACCGAATCGCTCTTTAATAGACTTATCCATCCATAAATAATAGCCTCAGGCTAAATCCGTGATCTGCACCCTTCAAAATCGAAGCAAAATGGCCTTCCGAAAAAATCACCTAAAAATTACGAAAATGCCCTCCGGAAAATTTCGTCCAAATTTCCGCCCAAATCGGCCATTGCTAGACTTCATCGTTGGTGGAGAGTACCCTAAGGCCGAATCTGTGATGAATCGCCTTCAAAATCCAAGGAAAATGACCATTCCAAAAAATCGCCGAAATCGGTGATGGTACCCCTTTGGAATCTGGCAAAATTTGCCCCGGGAGTTTTCCGACCGAATCGCTCTTTAATAGACTTATCCATCCCTAAATAATAGCCTCAGGCGGAATCCATGATCTGCACCCTTCAAAATCGAAGCAAAAATGGCCTTCCGAAAAAATCGCCTAAAAATTACGAAAATTCCCTCCGGAAAATTTCGTCCAAATTTCTGCCAAAATCGGCCATTGCTAGACTTCATCGTTGGTGGAGAGTACCCTAAGGCCGAATCTGTGATGAATCGCCTTCAAAATCCAAGGAAAATGACCATTCCAAAAAATCGCCGAAATCAGTGATGGTACCCCTTTGGAATCTGGCAAAATTTGTCCCGGGAGTTTTCCGACCGAATCGCTCTTTAATAGACTTATTCATCCCTAAATAATAGCCTCAGGCTGAATCCTTGATCTGCACCCTTCAAAATCGAAGCAAAATGGCCTTCCGAAAAAATCGCCTAAAAATTACGAAAATGCCCTCCGGAAAATTTCGTCCAAATTTCCGCCAAAATTGGCCATTGCTAGACTTCATCGTTGGTGGAGAGTACCCTAAGGCCGAATCTGTGATGAATCGCCTTCAAAATCCAAGGAAAATGACCATTCCAAAAAATCGCCGAAATCGGTGATGATACCCCTTTGGAATCTGGCAAAATTTGCCCAGGGAGTTTTCCGACCGAATCGCTCTTTAATAGACTTATCCATTCCTAAATAATAGCCTCAGGCTGAATCCGTGATCTGCACCCTTCAAAATCGAAGGAAAATGGCCTTCCAAAAAAATCGCCTAAAAATTACGAAAATGCCCTTCGGAAAATTTCGTCCAAATTTCCGCCCAAATCGGCCATTGCTAGACTTCATCGTTGGTGGAGAGTACCCTAAGGCCGAATCTGTGATGAATCGCCTTCAAAATCCAAGGAAAATGACCATTCCAAAAAATCACCGAAATCGGTGATGGTACCCCTTTGGAATCTGGCAAAATTTGCCCCGGGATTTTTCCGACCGAATCGCTCTTTAATAGACTTATCCATCCCTAAATAATAGTCTCAGGCTGAATCCGTGATCTGCACCCTTCAAAATCGAAGGAAAATGGCCTTCCGAAAAAATCGCCTAAAAATTACGAAAATGCCCTCCGGAAAATTTCGTCCAAATTTCCGCCCAAATCGGCTATTGCTAGACTTCATCGTTGGTGGAGAGTACCCTAAGGCCGAATCTGTGATGAATCGCCTTCAAAATCTAAGGAAAATGACCATTCCAAAAAATCGCCGAATTCGGTGATGGTACCCCTTTGGAATCTGGCAAAATTTGCCCCGGGAGTTTTCCGACCGAATCTCTCTTTAATAGACTATCCATCCCTAAATAATAGCCTCAGGCTGAATCCGTGATCTGCACCCTTCAAAATCGAAGCAAAATGGCCTTCCGAAAAAATCGCCTAAAAATTACGAAAATGCCCTCCGGAAAATTTCGTCCAAATTTCCGCCCAAATCGGCCATTGCTAGACTTCATCGTTGGTGGAGAGTACCCTAAGGCCGAATCTGTGATGAATCGCCTTCAAAATCCAAGGAAAATGACCATTCCAAAAAATCGCCGAAATCGGTGATGGTACCCCTTTGGAATCTGGCAAAATTTGCCCCGGGAGTTTTCCGACCGAATCGCTCTTTAATAGACTTATCCATCCCTAAATAATAGCCCCAGGCTGAATCCGTGATCTGCACCCTTCAAAATCGAAGCAAAATGGCATTCCGAAAAAATCGCCTAAAAATTACGAAAATGCCCTCCGGAAAATTTCGTCCAAATTTCCGCCCAAATCGGCCATTGCTAGACTTCATCGTTGGTGGAGAGTACCCTAAGGCCGAATCTGTGATGAATCGCCTTCAAAATCCCAGGAAAATGACCATTCCAAAAAATCGCCGAAATCGGTGATGGTACCCCTTTGGATTCTGGTAAAATTTGCCCCGGGAGTTTTCCGACCGAATCGCTCTTTAATAGACTTATCCATC